CAATTGATCTGTTCTTGTTTTATGGAACTAATGGAACTTTAAACAAGATTCATTTAACATGAGACCAATTATGAGGTAAGGAAAACAGTAAGATCCAAATGATTTGAAATTTAGAAAAAGCTGTAAAGATCCCAACACACAGAAGGGGATTAACAGAAAAAGACTGAGGGTTGGTAGGAAAAAAGAGTGCCATTTCCCTCCCTGGAACAGAGGAGTTTGAGAATGTGCACTCCCAGCCAAAGCTCTGCTCCCGGACCCAGCTCATTTCCCCACACTCTGTGAAGGGCCTGGAACCTGGTAGGACATTAATGGTTGATCTACCCAATTACAATGCCCAATTTAAATTCTGAATTCTCAAAAATTTTCAGCACAGGAAAAGCAAGTGAAGATTAAAATATTACCTACAATTTCCTCCATGTGATGCATGCCCCATTGCCTTTGATCTTGAAAGGTATGAATTTATGCCATTTGATAATATTGACAATCATCTTGAATAATCTCTATTAGGATTAGTAAGCAATGCTTTATGTGTATAATATATATCAGAACCATCCCTACTCAGAAAGGATGAGAAAATCTCTAAAATGAACTTATAAAGTTTGGTGTATAAGTCTAACCTAATATAAGGTAATGGCATTTTTATCTTCATATTAGAGAAAATGTTCTAACAGGATTATGACTTTTATTAAAGGTGTTGTCAACGTGTGACATATCAAAATAAAAATATCCTTCCTGGCTATATTTCAATCAAAATCTGATTAGAGTATAGAGGCAGGGGAGGGCAAGGCCAGAGGAAGAGGAAGATCTCTCAAATAAGAGGCCTTGGTGTGCTCCAGACACAACACCTGAGCTACTCTGAGCCACCCTGAGCTACTCTGGAAGACACCTGAGCTAACCTGGAAGCAGCAAGGGCACTGGAGATCCCATCACAGCAGGTGACTCCACTGCTGTGTATCTGGTTTTCACTTCTCAGATGTCGATAGATAGCAGTTATGCCCCAGGGGGATGAGAGGAAGTTTGGAGAGTACTCAAAACAAGAAGTGCTATCAGGCTGCTTCCTACATGTGTGTCACTCTGGATCACACACTCTAGGAGTGACAGGCAGGGAGTGGTGCTTTCAGTTCAATGGATACAGAAGGATGTATCTCTTACTTGCATCCACGATAGTTGCTAAGGGTCCATTGGCACGTGAAATGAAAAAACCCTCACTTCTTCTGACATAGATGTCACCAGTTCATATATCGGGGCACATCTATTAACACAGGTTGAGGGAACCCAGGAGCAGAGGCCCTTCTTCCACCTCTGCTCAAAGCATATCAGTGACTTTCTTTCCAAATAGAACTTGGAATCTATGAAGACAGGGAGATACTATTATGGTGTTGTACTAGCAATGAAAAAGCTGTAATACAACTTTACACACATAAAAGTCCTGGCTTTTTGAAACTAAGAGTTAATGAACTCATCAAAATTCCCCCCAATGTGCATTTGGCCCTGAACAGGCACATGGCTAAACTCTTTCAAGAGCGTACAGATGTCCCTTCTGCCTGGCCTATCATGAAAAAAACCATATGCCCAAAGTGTGGATGCATCTACTGCCTCAACTGCTTGGATTCCCTGGAGAAAGAGCCTGATGGGGGAGACTTTCTGGTGTCTTGTATGCCCCATGTTCTATACAAAAGAAAAAAAAAAGGACATCAAGCCCAATCAGGAGCTGAGAAAGCTGGTTTCCACTACCAAGGAACTGGAGCCCCAGCTGCAAACTGCTCTACTGGTGAACCCAAGAATGTGGAAGTTGCACATTAAATGCATCACATACTCTGCTTCCTCCCCACTACCCGGCCAGGAAAATTCACCTGTGTAGTTGGCTCTGCATTCCATATGGTGACTAGGCAAGGTCTGGCTCCTGAAATTGTGATGTCACTGTGGCATTGATGTTTCTCAGTCATAATAACATGTAGAATCACCTTGTGATCTTGAACATCAATGCTGATGTCTTTGTAGTGGCTTAGGCAAGGGTTCTCCACATTTAGTGTGCTGTGATTGCCTGGAGTGGTTGGTAGGAAGCAGAGCCTAAACTGGGTGAGTTCAGCCAGCATACTGCAGACTTGGGGACCACTCTTAAGAAGCAAACCAGAGCCACTGAATCTGAGCTTCTTTGTGGCTAGATACCCATGAACCTAATGTGAAAATCTCCCAGTACCTGTAATAATTAGAACTTGCCAGTGTGACCAGGAATTTGCTTCATGAAAAGGTCTGATTTGGGACTGGAAGTTTAGAATGGAGATCGATCCTGCCCATGTGCTGAGCTTTGTGTTTTCCCTTCGCAATGGATATGACCTTGGATGTTGACAGGGCCAACAACCTCCTGGTCTTTTCGGATGACCACAGAAGTGTCGGATGTGGGAAAATCAAACAGCACCAGCCACTGCAGCATGAGAGACTTGCCTTAGCCCTGTGTGTCCTGGGCTCCTCTAGATTCACCTCCAATCGCCATTACTGGGATGTGGTTGTTGGAACAAGCACAGAGTGGGACTTGGGCACGTGCAGGGAATCTGTTCACCAACGAGGATGGATTCAACTAACCACAGATCTTGGATTCTGGACCATAAACTTGAGAGCTGATGGCTGCTTCTCTGCCAGCACTATGCCACAGACACCCCTCACTGTGGACCCCAAGCTGTGCCATGTGAGCATTGTCCTGGTTACGGGCCTGGGAAACATTTCCTTTTTCCATGTGGAAAATGAATCCCATCCCTTTACATTCATGGGAGTTTTAGCTGAAGGATCACTGTGCTCATTTTTTTGCTCCTTCAATTCCACCAAATGGTAACCAGGGTGTCCTGAGTATTTGTCCCCTAATGAATCTGGGTGTGTCCAGTTTTCTAGCCCTCATGGGCAAGCAAGATAAGCCTCCACAGCAAAGAAACATGGACAGAAGATGACTTGGTCCTCACATCTAGGCACATTGTGAATGGTACAAATATTAAAGTCATAGGTGAGAAATATGGAACACTTTGTGAATACAGTTCACCTAATTAAATTCACAAGAGTACAAATAGGGCTACATATTGATTATTGTCACCATCAAACTCATCTAAAATCTTTATATTTTTTGTATGCTGGAGAAATATCCCTATTTTTAGATCATTATGCAAATTTACTATTTATTTCTTCACATTCAGTTTATGTTATGCAAGTTATGAATGAAATCAATTGGAGTTGACCAAATGAAACATGATTTTCTAAAAAAAAAATAGGGGTGCAATAGCTTATATCCACTAGCAATTGTGTATGTATGTGTCTGTGTGTGTGTGTTGTGTGTGTGTGTGAACATACAAAGAACCAGATAAATGCCCATATGCCATCCAAACCCCAACACACAATTTTCACTCACAATACTCAGTGTAGCTCATATTTTCCTAGATGAGTGCTCATCTGCATTAATGACCATTCAAGTACTGTAGATATTGCTGATTGGTCCCAAGTGGGAATGTAATTTGATATACTCATTATGGAAACCAGAAGAGAGTTCCTCAAAAAATTAAAAGTACAACTAGTATATAATTCAAAAACCTGTCTTCTAGTTATATGTGCAAAGAAAACAAAATCTATATGTAAAGGAAACATCTGCATTCCCATAACCCAGTTATAGAAATGGCTTGAGTATCCCTCCACAGAGGAATGGATAAAGAAATGTAATATCTGTACCCAATGTCTCCTGACCCAACCTTCAAAGGAAGGCAGTCCTGCCATTTGCAATATGCATCACAATATTGATGGACTGGAAGACATATTAGAGGAAATGAGCCAGACATATGAGAAAACAAATACTGCATGATCTCACTTATGTGTGGGATTTGAAATAGTGAAGTCTTAGAAACATAGTAGAATGGTGTTCACCAGGGGCAAATCGAGGTATAATTTTCAATGGGTGTGGAGTTTCAGTTCTACAAGTTGAATAAGTTCTAGATATCTAGTGTGCAGCACAGTGACCCTGGGCAACATGTCTGCATTATATTCTTAAAATGTGCACAGAGCAAAGATCTTAAGTGTCTTAATTCTGACCCTCTAGAAAATTTTATGAGGTGCTGGACATGATAACTACATTTCTGGCAATCATTTCACAACGTATCCATATATAAAACATCAAGTGTACACAATTAGATATATGCAATGTTTATTTGTCAGTTACACCTTAATAAATACCAAGTTATGAAGTATGTGCTTGTGTGCAGTTGGGAGGGAGGCAAGTACAGTGCATATGTTTACAGAAGAATCTGTGGGCGTCTAAGGCTGTTTTTCTGACAGAAAACCCTACTTCCTAAACTTGGGAGACACTGGTCCATAGAAGTGGATTAGAACTAATGCTAGGATGTGCTGAGAGTGGGAGTTTCTCAACAAGTTTCTCAACCTGGAAAGTGTCTTCATTGATAATGTGGACAGAGTCCAGAAGCAGGAGCATGGGTGTTCAATCCCAAATACTCCAAACCCAGGATGTCCTGGATGTCTAGTGCCATCTGCTGGTTGACAGACCCAATTACCTGAGACAGGGGCCCTCAAATTCCCTCCCTGCTCAGCTCTGCAGCCTCAACTGAGTCAGAACCCTGGAGCTTTCCTCCTCATGCATTTTGGCAGAACAACTCTGGGTGGGCATTTGTCCACACCTGCTCTTCTGTCAGAAACACAGGACCCTCCCATCATCCTGATGTGCCCAAGACACCCACCCCAGAGTGTGACTTCTGACACTGGACATTTTTGCATTGAAAGAACAAAATGAGGCACATGATATAGGAAAAAAATAATAATTCATTAATGAATTAACTCATTCTCTTGAAACATCAGTTTCTATTGAGACACAGTGGTCCAGAATACTCTATAAAGAGGAATAAGTGTGGAGGCTCAAGTTTTGGTACTCCTACGCATTTCTGATTGTGTCAGTAAAAGATAAGGAAGAACACAAATCATATTTCAACCCCTAAATGTTGTGGCTTCTCAGTAGTTTAATGATATTGTCTTCTTCACATTGACACATGAGAAGATTGAAGATGTTTTTAGTTAGAGCCTTGGGATTTTAGCCTTCCAAGAAATGAAACAGAACTTTCAATTTTGCCTTCTTCCTCTTCTCTGGAAACGGATAGATGAGTGCTCAGAGAGGTGATATCCACACGTGATTAAATCAGTTATGAGAATGGTGACTTCAATGACTACTGAGCTATTTCGGTGAAATCTGGAAGAAGGTGGGGTTCACACCACACCCAGTGAGACCCATATTCCTGCAGAAATACCCTGATCTGTCCTTCAGACTGTCTCCCAATCCCCTGGGGGCATGGGTCTAAAACTCCAGGTAAACTCAATGTGAAAGGACTGCTAACCCAGTATTTTTTCACCATGTTCCGGTGGATGTGTGTACTTTTGGGTTTGTCTAAAGAGATAGCAGGATTTGAGAACTGGGGTTGTGTCTTTGCTTTGATTTGAAATGACCAATGTCACTGGAAAAGACTTGCAAAGGAAAACTTAAATATCTAATAACTTAAATATCTAATCCAATCCTGCCCAGACAAGCCCAGCTCCTGATAAATTTTTCACTTTCAATCTTCAAATTCTGCGGAGCTGGGGTTGTGGCTGTGTGGTAGAGCACTTGCCTGGCATGTGTGAGGCACTGGGTTTGATTCTCAGCGCCACATATAAATAAATGAACAAAATAGAGGCCCATTTAAAAAAAAAATAAAGGAATTTCTTTTAAAAAAAATCTTCAAATTCTGATCACCTGTGAGTTCTGTATAGAAATGAGTAAACTAGTTTCAAGACTTTTAAAAAGTGGATCTAATTTTATGTAAGTTGTTTAATAAAAGGAATAATAACATTGTAAAAATATCTATTCCTTTGGCCATGGTGACTAACAAAGGAAAAAAAAAAAACAAATAAACACATGACTTTGAATTGCTGATTGTTGGAATATATTTCAGATTTGTTTTCCAAACTTTTCAACCAAGATCTTCCCAATGACAGAGAAAAAGAACTTTCAAAACAATTGTTGTGCTCTGGAGACTGTAAATTCATGAAGGATCTGATAAGGATTAATTAACTTCCTTGACTCAAATTCAAGGTGGTTTCACCTGGGGCTAGGGGCAAAACATTTTTTTGAAAAATAACTTCATTGTTTTTGATAAACCCAGCCTAATTACCTCTTAAGATTGGGAGCCATCTTGCCACAAAGGCATGAAAAGTTAATTATGGCTTTATTATAAATTACTTCGATTTCTAAAGTTGCTTGGAATGCCTTCCTGTGCCTTGAACTTGAGAAACTGATGTGACTCCATCTTTAAAAATAAATAAATAACAGCAGCTTCTACCTCAAGGCCTGTCCTAAGGAAGGGGGCGTGACCCTTGTCCTGGGAAAAACCCACAGAGCACTCCTAAGCACATACCCACCCTACTGAGTTGTTTGTCTGCAAATAGCAGGAGAGGTCTATGGTGCCAGGTGTCTCTGACTCAGTTAGGCTAGGTGAGGACCCATAGCAACCCCCCTAGCTACTGAGACAGGGAAAATACCTGGAATGCCAGATGACCCCCAAGTAGTTTATGGTGGTTGACAACATGTTGGGAAACCATGTAGTTTAGACCCCTCATGGCCTAAACCAATCAATTCAAAGGAATCCCCCTCTTGTACTAACCAATCACCCCTACCCAACTTGTTCCCACCATTGAATGTGCTAATCGATGTTAAGAGTTGTTGTTTGACTTTCCCTCGGTATGGAATGATTTGCTGTGTGATGTTGTGACGCATAGAGTATCCCCCCAAAACCTATAAACTCTCACTGAACAAAGGACCAGGACTCACTCCCTAGGACCGCTGCCTCGGGATGGGTTGTGAGTCCAGGCTGGAGCTTGCAATAAAGACTCTTGTGTGATTGCATCGGATTTGGCTCCCACGAATCCGATGCAATCACACAAGATTCTATTGGGGTCCCACGAATCTGGCATAACAAACTCGTGCCTGGCTTTACCTGACCAGATAACAACCCTCTCTGAAATGTTAGTGGCGCCTCATAAATTCTGGCTTTCCCTGGCCAGATAATGACCCACTTTGAAACTCTAGTGGCACCTCATAAATTCCATGTTGAGATCTTATTTACTCCCTAAGTGCTGGGCCATTAACTTACTATCTGCTTTTGTGTTATACTTGTCAAAATTCTGTTATCTGTCATCAAGACACCCCCTCTTTTTGTAACTTCGGTGCTATAAAGCTGTGCTTCTAGAGCTCTGCGGGGCTATCTTCTATTCCTGTAGTTTTCGGAAGAGACAGCCCCGGCCGTCTAATTTGATTTCAATTGGAGTTGGTGGTCTTTTCTTTGCATCATGGTTTAACAGTTTTCATCAAGAATAATAAGAGGGGGTCTGGGGCTGTGGATCAGTGGTAGAGCACTTGCCTGGCGTGTGTGAGGCCCTGGGTTCGATCCTCAGCACTGCATATTAATTAATTAATTAATTAATTAAAGGTCCATTGACAACTAAAAAAAAATATTTAAAAAAAAAGAATAACAAGAGAAGGCTGGGGTTATACCTCAGTGGTAGTGCTCTTGCCTAGAATATGTGAGGCTCTGGATTCAACCCTCAGCACCACATAAAATTAAATAAATATTTAATTTTATGTGGTGCTGAGGATTGAATCTATTAAAAATGAAAGAATAGAAATAGAAATCTAATGATTTGCTTTAAAAGTTTCTCTTCAAATTCCAAGTTTTATCATACACAGACATAATACTTAGGAGTTAATTCAGAGGAAGGAGTGTTGTCTGAATTTAAAGAAAATACACACCTTCAGGATAGATTGCTTTTCTTTGCATGATGTACTTTTATATATTTTCAGAAACACTAAACAGCTCCTTTATTCCAGTAATAAATCTATCACAAAATGAATGAAAGTGAAGGGGCAGGATGT